AGGAATGCGTTTTTCAGCACTGGAAGTCATAAGAGGCCCCAGAGTAAAGCAGAACATGAGCGTCTGGAGTGCTTATGGCAGAAGCAGAACATGTCCCGGGAACGGCGCTGTTTGTGTCCCGTCCTCTTGTGCCCAGAACGGGGCAGCAGCAGGCAGGCCCCACGTGTGCATGGAGGGGGTGAATGGCAAAGTTCGGCCTTCCCTTTCATTTTTTTTTTTTGCATCTGTGGAAAAAGGTGGATTGGTCTGAGACGTTTAGACCCTTTAGATGTCTTGGTTTTATTTTCGTGTAGTATCTCCAGGGCAGTTCAAACGGAGGTGTAAAGCAGGGAGCAGAAGGCAAGGTGACTCTTGCCATTAGTGAGAGCGCTTCAAGGGGCTTTGCCTTTGCCTTACATTTTCTGTAAGACACGACGATACCTGGAAAAGCAGTATGGATTTTAACAGAGGGAATTGTCTTTTACTTTGAAGGAGTTCTTTTGGGTAGCCTCTAAATCCAGCTGGCCATGTAAGGGAGCTGTAAAAGATAGACTATTGTAAACAGGAACAATGCTTGAGCTAGTATCACCTGTTAAAGAACAGGGAATAAAATGCCCGTTTCTCTTACTGGGAAAGTTATCAACCTTTCCATGCCAGTATTTTAATCCGGCTGGTGTGCAGAGACTCTGTGCCAGCAGGCTCACATGTCCCAGAGAAAAGAACACCCTATCTCGCTGGAAGTGTTATTTCAAGGGTGTTTCTTGGGGAATCAAAGTACAATCAACTTCTGCACGTATGAAAGAGTATGGGCATAAGAGTGCACAGAAATACCCTCTGCTGTTTTATCAGAAACCCTAGCAGGGTAAAATCCTGACCGCACCATCACTAGCAGTGATTTTTTTTCTTTAGTAGAGCCACAATTTCATCCAGTATTAACCCCCTGAAGTTGACAAATATAGAAAGTAGGTGTTTCACATTCTAGTAGCAGATTTGGACTGGAAATATCAAAGGACATGTTGACGCTGAAGGATGAAGCAAACATGCCCAGAACATGCCAGGTAATACTGCGGGTTCAGCCAGGCAGACAGAGCTGGGGGCTGCCTGCTGCTGCGGCACACGGTTGGCATCCCAGGCACTTTGTGCCTAGCTGGGCAAATGCTGCTGTGCCTGGGAGAAAGAGTACCTGCTGCCTTTTGGGCAACCCATTTACATCCTGGTGTTTAGGTCATGATCACATTTCTTTAGCACAGGGGAAATGGGAAACCAGAAGATGGAAGGTCTGCCGGTCATCTTGCGTATCCTCAGAGCCTCCCTGCCTGTTCTGGGCTGGTGAAACTGTGCTTACATTGCTCATCTACGTTGTAAAGTTCTCAGAGATCCTCAACTGTAAAATGCTGGATTAATGGAAAGCAAAAATTTTACTACAGCAGATATTACAGCCTATGAAGTCATCCAACCCTTTTAAAATCTAGCCATAGTAGTTGCCTAGATGGCTTCCAGCAGCAACAGAGGCTGACTCTTCTCCAGGGGTCATTCTGATACTCTCCCAGTGCTGTGCTTCAGGCACTAACAGTAAAACAGCTTTGGGGCCCTGCTTAGAAACGATGAACACTGGTACGTATTTAGTCAGACACTGATTCTTGAATCCTGATCTTTTGTGTTTTAACACTGTTCCATCTGAAAGCTATTGCTTTAACGCTCCTTGTGAAATAACTTCCGCTGAAAATAGCCTGTGCCTGCTGCCTCCACCCTTGCCCGAGAGCTTGATCCTCTCTTAACCTCAGTGATCAGTGTCTCATTCCAGCGGGATTGCTCAGGAGAATCCACAGAAAATCAGAATCTCACAGAGATCAGGAAAGGAACCAAATTACTTGGTCCTGTCCCTTCCACATGTGGCTCTGTCCCAGAGACGCCTTCTGCAGGGGATGCCGCGAGGTCCCTCCGTCTGACTTTGTTTTGGCCGAAAGCGGGGTAGGATCAAAGCCCGTCTCTTACACCTTTATACTGGGACGTGAGGGCAGCTGTGGGCTCCGTAACAGAACTTGGCCAGTTACCTTTAGCTTCTGGAGCACGCTCGAGTCCTCCCTTCCTGCAGGAAATGGGTGCTCTAAGAATATGATGATCATGTACGGTATCGTTTTATTTGAGAAGTCCCCCCTCGGGGGGTGCAGTGTTTAACATTTCCTTTGGTTAGTGTAAATAATAAAAGATAAGTCTGTTCTGCCTCGGACTCCCAGTAAGAAAGAGGAACAGATTTTGGTTTACCGAGGGGTCTGCAGTACTTTGTTCTCCTGACTACTATATAATGGGATTGAACATATTTTATGCCATCTGGCCCGTTCAGCCGAAACAAAAGACATCAGTAATGTTCCGATTGGTTTTGAAACATCTTGTTCTTGTCAAAAAGTAATTTTAAATCAAAACAGGCTTTTCCAGCTTGTGTTTGTCTTTTTTACTAGGAGGCCATGGCGAAAATGGGGAAAATTGGGCGAGTCGTGCAGCCTACCCCAGGGCATAAAAGGTAAGGCAGGCGTGTGGGTGTTCCTCTGCGGGAACTGACGGAAAATGAAGTTAAGGTCTGCCTCCAGTAGCCCGGCTTGGGTGCAGTCGTGCTCCTCGCCCACGTTTTCCAAGGCTCATGCGGGCGCCCAGCTCTTGGACCCGGGCGAA